GAGAGTTTTTTATAGCTAACTGAAGAAAGAGAGGACTAACGAGCAGATTGGGAGCAGGTGTGAAGAGAGCTGTCTAAGAAGCTACGGGAAAAAGGAGACCAACACACGAGGGCAATAAAATAAAAACCTGAGAACTGAAATCTAACAAAAAACACAACAAAAAAAGAGTTAAACCAATAAAACTAGAAAACATGGAGCAAAGTTAAACTGAATACTCAAAAGAAAACATAACAGAACCAAGACTGTGACAGTCCAGAGCTACAGGAATTTAACAGAGCAAGCTCCTAAACTTACCAGTTTTTCTCTAATGTCATTTCTATGACCCATTCAAAAGAAGCCAGTATAGCATTTAAAGCCCCGCAGGCTTCACCTGGCCCTCTTATGGTCTGTGTTCATGATGGATAAGAAGAAGACTGGTTAAAGACTGGATCTATGGAAGAAACCAACAAGCATCTTGGTATGTCAAGAAAAACAAAGATGTTTTCAGAAATTGTAAACAAGCCTGGTTCAGGTAAAGTATCACATTTTTCTAACTAAAGTATAGTTAAAAACAGTGAAAATAGCATTTTGTGTCGGATACCGAGTATCTACCAAAATCTTTATTTCCGAATGATGCTTCCTTACACTGTTCATTAAAAACAGGGATGCTTACTTTCCCTCCATTCCCAAATAATAAGCAATGACTTGAAGCAAGTGACAGATATTTTTTTTCTGCATGCCTTGCCCACCCCCTGACAAAGCCTGATACCCTGGGCTATAATAAACTATTGTCGTCAATCAAGGTTGTTTGGTTGAAACCATTGACCAAGATTTTTAAGTCACAGCCAGAAAACGTTGCCTTATGATGATTTATTTCTTATGCTCCACAAATCTGGAAAAAACTCACAGAAAACAAATTTTTAATTGCTGAAATCCTAAGTTTCTTAAATCAAAAATGTTTATAATGGCCTTTAATGTTCCAATTCAAACAGTAGCCTATTATTTTATGTAATCCACCTTTGTTTAAATGTATTTATTTACATCATTTCTTCCCTTTTAGCTTATGTATCATTTTAAAGTGAATCATTTTTTATTAACTTTTTATAATCATTTTATTACTTAAACTAAAACTATCATTATTACACATATTTAACTATTATTTTCATGAATAATTTTATTACCTTTGATTCTCAAAAGATTCAGCAAAAGAAAAAAATGACATACATATTTTTCTGTTTTCCTGACATGTTTGCTTTTGTACAGCAATCTGAATTTTCCTGTTTCTGAAATGTGGTAAATATATTGACTTACCTTGCCTTGAGCATCTATGAATAGAAATAAAGTTAATTAAAAGGCGGCTGATGGTTGATCTTCCTCTGTGACACAACGTTCCACGGTATTCCAGACATAACATACACATGAATATGTCACTTTTCCTTCTGTCCGGCTGTGTTGCTGCTGTTGCTGTTGGCTGCTGGGTTTTCATGGTAAATTGCTGCGACAGTGAGGCAGCTGTAGGCGCCTGGCTGGACCAACAAAGAAAACGTTAAAACTTGGGTGGGACCTTTGACTAAGCAGACCGTCTGTGTTCATCCTGAAGGTAATACATAGTGAGTAACTGGAAAAAGCAGCAAACATATTACCAGGCAGATTTACCTCATTTAAAAAAAATATCAAGCCTGGTTTAAGACAAATGTAAAAAAAAAAAAAAAAAATGACAAAAGCATAGCTAAATCTGAAAAATATTTTAACATCTTTACCTTTTTTTTCAGGTAAACCTGTTTCTGTATCGACACAAAATAAATTTTAAATAGATTCTTCACACTGCAGTCTAATGTTTCACTGCACCATACAAAATACATTATGCATAGTCTTGCGCCTCACTGAGGACAATATCTAAATAAAGGCTTTTGGGTACATAGATGTTATCTAAGAGTGGTTGTTTCTTGTAAGATAAATACAAATTCTACACAAAAGTGTAAAAAATAAACAATTTCTTCATCTGTTTGTGTAAACTAAAACATTACAAGCAAAATATCCTGGATGAAAAGAGAAGATTGGACATTAAATAGATTAAGTAATCATAGATCTAGGGTCATATGGTCTCTTGTGGATGTTAGGAATCTAGTGTGAGTTGTGTTTTTGTCTTTTCCTCCTCCACCACCAGGTGGCGTCCTGTTCTCGTTGGTCCTCCCACACACCTGCGGCTGGTTGGCTCATTACTGAGGACTTCTTAAAGGAATAGTACACCCAAAACATGATTAGCCTTCATTTTCTACTCACCCCCATGCTGAACAACACTCTGGAGTACTTTTTTGATATCTCAAATGCATCTGGAGATCTGGGAGGCTTCTTGCTGTCTGCTGACATCCAAATAATGGAGGTCTATGGCGCCCGAGGTAGAAAGGTCCATAAAAGTCCACAAAAAACGTGTCAATATTCCTCCATACTGCTCGTCCAATGTATTCCAAGTGTCCTGAGTGGGTAGCGTCCATAATTTACTGGAAACGAAGTAATTTAGAATGTTTTTAGAGCATAAACAGTAGTGTATAGGATTTCCTAAAAGCGCGTTCACGAGTCTACGGAAACCGCGGCAGACCAAACCAGATGAAAGTGCGCATTCAGCTCGGCAAAGAACTCATGCTCTTCCTCAACACTGAAGTCCTCAGACATTTTTCTTTCGTTGTTTCTTTCTTTGCACAGCTAAACAGCACATTTCTTCTTCTACACTTGCATTATCGGCAGAGCAGATGCTGAATGCGCACTTTCATCTGGTTTGGTCTGCCGCGGTTTCCGTAGACTCGTGAAATCGCATGCGCGCGATTTTAGGAAATCCTATACACTACTGTTTATGCTCTAAAAACATTCTAAATGACTTCCTTTCGAGCAAATTATGGGCGCTACCCACTCAGGACTCTTGGAATACATTGGACGAGCAGTATGGAGGAATATTGACACGTTTTTTTGTGGACTTTTATGGACCTTTCTAACTCGGGCGCCATGGACCTCCATTATTTGAATGTCAGCAGACAGCAAGAAGCCTCCCAAATCTCCAGATGCATTTGAGATATCAAAAAAGTACTCCAGAGTGTTGTTCAGCATGGGGGTGAGTAGAAAATGAAGGCTAATCATGTTTTGGGTGTACTATTCCTTTAAGCGGTGGACTGCCACTACTTCGACGCCAGAGTGTTTACCAGTTTTGGGTACAAGCTGAGTTTAGCTTAGTTTAACTGAGTCTTTGTTTCTCTGAGTCTAACGTGATTTTTGTCTTTCGACTTTCGACTGGAAGTCATCCTGCATACTGGATGTTTGGCCTTCTCCCCCTGGAAGGATTGTTTGAGCTTCACACTGAGCAGGGGATTAATCTCCACACGTCCCATTCAAGTTCTCCGAGAAATCTAAGTGGCAGTCCGCACCATTGCTCCTCAGGAACCAACCAAACCAAAACCTGTCCGCCCTTCAACGGGCCCCTCTATCTCTGGAAAAACCCACACCGACTGGATTCTGGGAAGAAACCTTTCTCAGCAATCGTGAGTCCCATTTATCTCTGTTTTTTGCAAGACGTCGTTCAAAGTTCCCATGGACCCTAAACTAACCTCTGTGAACTTCTCCTCTCACTTCCAGTTCCAGTTCACCAGCTCTCTGAGTACCCCTGAATCCAACCCATTTGAACTCCTCAATAAACCTGTTAAACTTTTACTCTGGTTTCTCTGAGTGGTTTTCTGCATGTCGGTCAGATCTCTTAGAACATCATGACAGTGGAACCGTTGCCAATTAGCTTATGGATTTATATCGGTAAAATCTGACATTTTCTGCTGTGATATTTAGGGTCCCTCTGCTTAGAATACCTTCCAGTCAAAAGACACAATGCAAAAAAAATTTTAAACTTTCCTTTTTGATAAAGTTTATAGTTAGTTCAGGATAACTTGAGCCACTCTGTCTATAGTTATGCTGCTATAGGCTTAGACTGCTTGAGGACATAGGGACCCCTTTTTCATCATTCTGCTTCATTCTATCTCTATTCTCCCACTCTGCAGAATTTGTTAGTTCAATCTTTTACACTACTGTATGCTCTCTCTGCTTCTTCTCATAGTATCTTTATCTGGCATGTTCCTGTTTGACTGTCACACTATTCTGGAGAGAAATATCAGCTGTGCTGCTCCCATCAACACCTTTGTTTATAGATGTTTGAGCTCTGCCTATATTTTAGTGTACCGGTAGTCCTAATTCCCTGACTGTGACTGGCTGGATGTGCTCTCTCGCTGGCTTTGAGCTTGACTGCCTGGCTGTAAATTTCTTGGACAGGGCCACCTGTGGAGCTGGTTGACAAGTTCCTTTGTATCTCTGCTTCTGTCTCCTTGAACCCCAGTCGGCCTCGGCAGATGGACTCTCACACTGAGACTCATTCTGCTGGAGGTTTCTTCCTGTTAAGGGAGTTTTTCCTCTCCACTCTACCAAACTATAAGCATGTTTGGTGTGAGGGATTGCCTTCAAGTTAATGAGTCAATATAATCAACTGGTTTTCCTTAGATAGAAAACTTTGAATCAATTTGACTGTATGATCTGGTTGAACTGTAAAGTGCCTCGAAAAGACGTGTTGTGAATTGGCGATATATAAATAAACTGAATTGAACTTGAATTCATACAGAAGTTAAATTAGTATCAAATATGGGAGATGTGGAAAGTGCTAAGACTTGTGACATCACGATTCACGAAGCCCAGCTGTTGATGACTTTGGTGCACAAGTGGGGAAAATGCTTAACTCCAGCAGTCTATGGGCTAGAACATACAACCATGCACACACCCACTCACACCTGAGGACAATTTAGAGATGCCAATGAACCTAACAGTCATGTTTTTGGAGGAAGCTGGAGTACCCAGAGAGAATCCATACATGCACAGGGAGAACATGCAAACTCCATGGAGAAAGACCCTTGGCCGCGAATTGAACCCAGAACCTTCTTGTTGAAATAATTAGCCATAAAAATCTTGTTTTTTACATTTAATTTAATTCAGTTGTACATTGCAAACTACTGAAAATATGCTTTGTGGTTTTAAACCCCGTTTGAAACAGCTGTGGTAAATATTACGGAATGTCAAATAACAAAAAAAATATTAAGCATCAACACAATTTTAAAATACCATATACGTTTCTGAAGTTAACAAAATAAAGTGTATCCATGTTATACCATAAAATTGAGTCTATCTCAATAGCCTGTATTCTCAAAAGTCAATATTAGACTCAAGAAAATTCCACCAGCAAGTAGAGGAAGAGGGAAGGCATCAAGCATATGGAGATCTGCTACTTAAATTTATTACCGTTGCATATGTTGAAAACAGAGTTTACACAAATCATTTGCTCTTCACCATAAATCAAAATATCAATAACAGATGAAAAATGTGTCATTCGGTCAGTATTTAAAGCTACTTTTCTTTAAGGGTGAAGTACAGAAGAGATTGCCAAATTCTATATAGATCTACCACATTCTTAAGTCTTTCCAATAGTAACATTTTCTTTTGCATGACAACAAGCAGTTAAGTCAGCCATGTTTTCAGAAGACAAGGTGATATTTCTTTTGGTAACAGGCAGAGTGCAGAGTTTGAGTCAGTCACCACGACTTCATGGTCCTTCAAGGCCTGGAAAGCGTTGCGTAGACAGGCTGATCCCACACAGAGGAAGGACTGTGTGGAGGAGGCGCCAATCCCAGGCTGTTGATGAGCGGAGTTGCATATGACCTGTGGGAGGAGTGAAAGAACGGATACTGGTACAGGCTGGCAGGGTAACCTGAAAACGCGCTGTAGAGGCTGGCATTCTGAAGGTCAGTGTAGTCTGGTGGATTAGGAGACGTTGGCGAGGAGGAGAAGGTGGTGGAAGGGCAGACGTTTGAGCTAAGAGAGGTGTACTCTGGTGGGTGTGAGGGTGGAGGAGTACAAGAGGAGGGTGAGGAGCTACACTGGCCCGGGCTCATCTGCTCCATTTTGATCTGAGGTTGTTTGTTGCTGTCCTCCTCTGTTAGAATCTCATCAGATGTTTTGAGTGAGCAGCTGACTATGCTGTCGGAGTGATTTGGGGTGCTTTGGGGGAGGTATGACCCCGACGGGCAGCTAGTTTCCATCTGGGCTAGAGGAGTTGTTGCATGGCTGTTCGGACGCAGGTACTGATCTAGCTCATGCACATCGAAGCCATCTATGGTACCAATGACGTCGGTGCTGAGCTCTGAAATGTCTACATTGCTGAAGTCGATGTTTCGGTTGGAATGAATAGCAGGGCCGCTTTCAACAGGCTTTTGGGCCTCATACTTGTTCACTATGTGCTGCTCAGTTTTAGGGGTAGTAGGAGGAGTTGGAGGACCATGAGGGTGACCTAGGCAAAAGAAAAAACAGCATTTAGGCTTTTTTTCTACATTACATTCAAGACTGTATTTGTAAAGATTTTGTGATCTCATCACCTGGCTTGTCCGTGTTGTAATGCTTTGAGGCATCTCCTATGCCCTCCAGCCTGGACAGTCCAGGTTCTGCCTTGTAAAAGCCCTGCTGCTGCTGTTGGACCGATGCGGGTCTTGGGTCCGCTTGCCCAGGTTTAGTGCTTTTGCGTCTCCGAGGCTGGTATTTGTAGTCTGGATAGTCTCTCTTGTGTTGCAGTCTTAGCCTTTCTGCCTCCTCAATGAATGGCCGCCTTTCTGATTCAGAGAGAAGCCTGACAAAAGCAGGAAGCAATGAGTACAAAGGATATTAAACTTAATGCATAAATAAATTGATTAACTGACATTCAATACTAAAAAAACAACAATAACTGACATTTTACAGTTCAAATGGTCTTCAATCCTTTAGTGCTACAAAATGATCTGTGTGGAGCAATGTGTGCAACCCAAATGTTTTGTTCTACAGTAGCAGCCATTCAAAATGGCCCTTCCAAGTCAAATGCCAGCTGAACGGCAGCCCACATCCCTTCAACTCCCAACTAAATCTCCAGCCACTGAAGTGAACCCTCTTGCATATTTTTTTACTCTGACTCCACCCTTTCATGGAATTACAGGGTCTGACCAGGAGGTGATGCTACTCTTTAAAGCTTAATGTCCAAAGCAGGACAGAAAGAATATTTTAGAGCAAATATTGATGTTTAAGAAGGAACTGTAGGGGACCTGCCAAGGGCCCATCAAGGAAAGTGGGAAAATTTTGAATGGCTACAACAGTAAATAGTGACCCAGTGTGTTGTGTTGAGAAATAGTGCAACTGGAAATTTATGATGTAGAACATCATCAACCTCAGTGAGTTTTTTCAGTTACTTTTTATTTCACACAAGACTACGAGTTTGTTCCATCAAAGCAAAAATCTGATTTATAACTATTAAAAAGTTAGCACAAGATAAAGCTAGCTATGTGCAACAGTCATCCTTTCACTAATAAACTAATGATAATGTCAAAAAAGGTTTGGAAATGTGTAATATGACATCATTTTCTGATTTAAAACTTCAATCATAACTAATTTGTTAAAGTGTTTTTATCTATTTTAATATCTTACCTGAACTACATAATTCATCCAACCTTTTTATTTAAATATAAATTCACATTAAAGCTAACAGCAATCCTTCCAGCGACAAAGCAACGACAATGCAGACCTTTGTTTGCCTTAATGGTAATCTCAGATTTGTCTTGTTGGTCTTTTTGAATCTGATGGTATAAATTATAAGTATGCAATTGTTTATACAATAGATAAACTAAATATAGACCACACCAGGCCAGGGTAATTAGCTAAGACCATTTTTTTTATTTCTGCTGATTCAGTTTTATATTTATTTCACACAAGAAGATCATTGTTGGTGCACCAGCTGTTACCTACCTGTGTAAAAAAGAATAATCAAAATACAGCTTAATGCAAATGTTACACTAATTAAATGTTTATTGAATTACAATTTTTCAGAAACTTTTTTTAGATCCAAAATGTTTTCTTTCTGCCTAGATTTATGCTAAATGAAAGCACCAGTAAGGTCATCTACTAAAGGTAAGATCTAAGTTGTTATAATTCAAAAAGATCATCACTTCCAAATCTCCTGACCTACCCCTTTAACTAAATCACACTCACTGTTACCCATTTTTGTGGTAGAAGTCTTAAACAACTTATTCTGGGTCAGAATCATCATTTAACACAAGAATGTTAAAACTTAAAGGCCCTTTTCTGCTATTCCCTTTGATAATATAAGATAATATATATATATATATATATATATATATATATAGTCTAAGAAGATAAAACAGAAAAACAGCCAGGAGTTAATGGCCATGACACAATGATGAGCGAACTGG